CAAGTCAAGAGTGAAAACAAATTGTAACATCTCCTCCAGGTTAAGAATGCTTGGAAGAAATTAGCTTGCAGAACCAAAGCGTCATATAAAAAATCCGCTAACTCTGTGCCTCCAACTATAAAATATCTACTAATAAAGATATTAAAGTTTTTTTATTCTATAGAACTATTCTGCTCTGTGCATATCACTGATTTATTAAAAGTTATTTTTTTGAAAATAAAGATCTTTATCCATTTTAAAACTTTATTTTTATCTACCTGCTCTGAAGGAAAGTGAAATTAAAAAAATTTCATCCACATCAAAATATAATAACGATGCTATAACTTAGCGGACATATTAGTAATACTTAAGGATGTTTCTATTAATTTTAGTGTTAATATGTCATAACATAGACCTTCATAAATATTTTAAATTAACAACTAACAATATTGGATAATATTTACTATTCCTTCCAATAAGCCAAAAAAATGGGTAAAAACAGAACAATTTCTCGGTAAAATATTTTTTAATTGACTGGCGGGAATAGTAAATATTACTAAACGAATTTAAAAAAAAAAATTTATCAATAAAAGTGACCTCAGAGATGTGTCAAATTTTCACTATGGCAAAAAATGACCCTATATATATATATATATATATATATATATATATATATATATATATATATATATATATATATATATATATATATATATATATATATATATATTATATGTATATATATATATATATATATATATATATATATATATATATATATATATATATATATATATATCAATCTAATGACAATATAGCAATAATTCTCTTAAGTTTTTCTTCTTTTTGAAAGAGGTTCTTTTAAAAATTATTTGATGTTTTATAAAAGAATCTTTTACAAAGATCTGCATAACGATACTTTCATTTTAATTTAATTAAGCAAAGCAATTTAAAAAAAGCTTTTCCAATCTCGAAATGAATAAAGGAACGCACTTTTTAGAAACCATGTAGTTTAATAAATCGTGTACAACATGATTTAGATTGTTTTTTGCCAAATCATCAGGAAAACAGTAAAATGGCGCACTGTATATTGACTTATTTTAAATAAAGGGACACTTTAAGACTTTAACGAAGTCATTATTATCACCAACAACAGAACGGCAATACGTAGCAGTTTGGCATTAAACAGTACAGTTGTTTGGCAGTTTAAACTTTTATTTATTATCTTTATCGATCAAAAAACCAATTTATAAAACATCAAATGTTTTTTAATAATAATATTGAAAAATAAGTGCTAAATCTAAGTGGCAGAATATTAAAAATAATTTTCAGCTTTCTTTTACTAAATCGAATTAACTTTGATGTTTGTTTTCCCTGATTACCCAAGACGCATTTCGAAACTGAGAAAAGGTTTATACGGCACAGACGAAATACACCTATCCGATCAGAAAAAACGCGTAGAAATATTGAGGTCTGGATCCAAATTGTGTGGGTAAAATAAAAATAAACTTTTACGTACTAATGATTTTTAAGCAAACATTGTGCCTTCCTTTTGTTTGAGTTATTTATTCTAAAATAAACTCATAATGGATTTAGATTTAATTAATAAAATGAAAGTTTATGAGTTGAAGCAGTATTTAAGAGTTCGAGATTTGCGTGTTTCTGAAACAAAGAGGGAATTGGTTGCTTGTGTATTTTCTGCAATGGAAAACTTTATTGAGCCTGTACTAACTGCTACCAAGGCAGTTAAAGAACTTAAAGATGAATATCAAAAAAAACTTTTACTTGACAATGTTAAATGCAGTTATCCGTTTATCTTATTAGATGGTTGGTTATCTGAAGAGGGTAGTATTAAACAATGGCCATTGGTTTTGTATCCAGATATTTTTATTTACTTGTTATTTAACCCATCTGAATTAGGCAGCAATTACTTAAATGATTATAAAAATTTGAAAGCTTTTAGTTTTTATAAAACAGACAGGCTTCAAAAACTCGCATGTCACTGTATAAGTGAGGAAAGTTGATTTTGTGCAATAAAAGGTGAATGTAGACATTCACAACGTATTAATGACACAAGCTATAAACTGTGGTTGATTATAGAAAAAGAAAATGCAAAAATCCGATCTTGTCACTGTACATGTATGGCAGGAATGAGCCAAACATGTAACTATGTTGCTGCAGTAATGTTTAGAATTGAAGCTACTGTCAGAATGGGCTTAACAAATCCGGCTTGCACAATGGTTTCAAATCAATGGCTTCCAAATCGAAAATATGTTTTACCTGTTAAAATTAAAAATCTAGATTTTTGTTGAGAAACTTTTTCTCAACATTTAAAAAAAAAAAAGACCATTTGTAGACAGTTTGTATAAGAAATTTAATCCAATATCTAATTATTCTAGTAAACTTAATCTTCAGGATGTTGCAAAAATATTAAAAGAAATAGCCCCTAACTCCCACACCCACGCTGAATCAGATTTTAGTTTGATTAAATGACATAGGTTTGTGTCATACCTTTTTGAAATTATTAGAACCATACCATTCAGGGAAAGTTAGTGAAATAAATCATGAAACTAATCTTTAAAAAATAGTTGGGTTTATACAGGGGTAAAATAGGGTCCCGGACTAAGGCGCCCCTCTAACTTATATCAAGACCCACCACAGGGGTGCATGCAATTATTGTACATTTTGTCAGAAAATATGACTAGTCGTTATATGTCCCCCTCAGATCGTTCTTAAAAACAGTTTGAGGGGTGCCAATGCAAGGTACTTTTTTCTTTTAAATATTAAAAGGGAAAAAAAAACATTATTTTCAGAAAATATTTATTAAACATTATTTAAATGTTTACCATTGAAACTTACTACTGCTTTTTTCAAATACTTTACATACTTTTGATGGTTATCAGACACTTTGAAACTTTCCCATGCTTCCTTTAGAAATGAGTAGTGAAGAGCTTCCCCTGCTTGTTCACTAAAGAAACCCAATCCAATTTCGTTATCTTTACAAAAAGGACCTACATGTTGAAATATGATATGTAACTTCACAGTAACTGTCATTTCATTATCTTCCACTAAGGTTGAATAATGATTCTTAAATAACCTGATGTCTTTTTTAAATGTTGGCTATAAATTTACACCAAAACAAGAGTGAACAAGGTTATCCAGAAGCCTGAACGCTTCAGCCAATGGTTTTAATAGGACTGGAAACAAGTTATAGTACTTCACCCAATTTTTTAATATTTTTTGACAACTATTACCATTATATGACCCATTTTTTATTGATTTAGAAATATTTAAGTCATTTTCGATCTTTTTTAATAGTACTGGATCAGCTAATTTGTTTATTGTTTTAAAGATATGGTTTGTTGCCCCTTCCATCAAATGAAGTTCTGGAGGAGAAAGATGATTAACAACTAGATCATTATTATCACCAATTAAAAGAACTTCATCAATACAGTTAAAATATTCTTTTGCTCTAATTTTCTTTGATCCGCTCAATTTATACAATTTACGGCTAAATTTTATTGACCCATGTGTTCGTAGCTCAGTGCAATCATTTTTAAAAACCTCTGTTTTGTTACATGTACAAATATAACACGGATAAGTTGCCATGGAACTTGGAGACATACCACACTTGACTTGACAGAGTTTGATATCTGCCACATAATTAAAGTTTATTTTGTCCAAACAGAGTTTGTTAGGCAGAATTTTAACATTATGGTTTGTCTCTGGTGCATCTGGTACCAGTGCTATAATAAATTATGCTTTCACAGATCCTTCCTTGAAATTTGGTGATTTAATTTCTTCCTTTAATTTTTAATTGTTTCACTAGGATTTGATACAATATTTAAGCAAACCTGAATATTTTATAATAAATTACACTTATTATTTTTAATTAGAAAAAAAAGTGGCACATTATAAAATCAAATTACCTTAAGAAATCCCCGACCTCCGTAAATGGAAACTTGTATATACTGGTTTTGAGGATAGGCTCCTTTTTTTATCTATTATTTGCCACAGAAACTCATTGACATCTGTTGTTCTGATAAATGGAGTTTAAACAAACTTTTTTCCACTACAGATTTAACATTAAAAAGTTCAAAATCCTCAACAAAGCAATCATCAAGTTGCTGGTCAATACGTTTGAGCTCTGCTGCTAACCCTGATTGCACAATTTTTCTGTTTTGTGCTTTGAATCGTTATTCTTTTGCTAGCTTTAAAATTTTTGTGTTACTTAATTCTAAAGTTGATTGTATGTCAATCATACTGTTTATAGACAGTTGTTGTATATTACTAGTATCATGGTTTCTCTTAATTGTAAAACTTACTTTTTTACCACCAGTAGCAAGTATCGCTTTACCCTTTTTGTCTATTTTGTCTTTTATTAAAGAATTAGCTATTTGCTCAATTGTCTTGACATTATTTGCAAGCTTTTGTATTATATTACATTTAAGTACAGCTAAATAACTTTTGTGGGTAATTCCTTTGCTAATAATTGAAAAGCAAGTTTGACAAGTTAGACTATTAAATGGAGGTTGCGCGTTACATATCAGCGCTCGAAATAATTATTTCAAGGTTGCCGATCAACACTGATCGGCAGAAATAATAAAAGTAATAAAGTAGAGGATCAAAAAATTATCCAGACGATCAAATTTTTCTTAACTTTTTCTTTAATAGCGTACAGTTTAGGTGACGTCAAATTGTTTGTTTTACCGCTATCAACCTACAATAAATTGCGTTTTTAGAAAATTCTATTGATTTTGTGCAATTTTCTAAAATATCTTTACCTTAATGCCTTTTAGTACTAAAAAAATCTATTTTTAGAACACTAGCTGAACGCTATTGGTTTTTGAATACAACAGCGTACGTCCGCGTTATCGTTTATAGTTTTTACTTTTAAACTTAGCTCTTAATTCACTTTTTCACTTCAACGCGTTGCCTTTTAAGTGACGTAAAAATATTTTTTGTGACTCGAACAATTGTTTTTTATATAATGATCGTTTTTTAACAAAAATTACACAATAAAAAGGTAATGAACTTTTTAACCAATATTTGATTATTAAAACTTTTTTAAACTAAAAAAAGGTGAGAAAAAATAATCTCGTTTTGCGCTATTCATTACTTGATTCGTTAGATGATGAATCCAAGTCGATTAATGTTTTTAATCCTGCTTTTTTTGCTCTTTTGGAATAGCATTTTCTTACTTATTGTTTTGGCCTTCGCACGGCATCATTGGTCCATAACTCGATAGCAGAACTTAAATCAAATAAATTGGAATCTTTTTTATCGAAACTTACTCGAATTAAATTTTCTAAACGTTTCTCTTTCAGAGAGTTTCTTGTATCCGTTTTTACTCTATTCATTAGTGAAAAAAGGCGTTCAACTTTCGCATTAGAAACAGGCAAAGTAAGTAATAGTTCGACAATAAGTAAAACCGGAACCCATTCATTTTTCATTGAGCTAGAAAAAATTTGATGCCATAACTTACGATAACCGGTATTATGTGGTGCTAAATATTTTACAGTGTAGTTTACCAAGCTATGCCAAGCATCCAAAACATCATTTACAGTTCCTGCAAAACCAGCATGTCGCAACGGCGCTCTATAAAAGTCAAAAAGAATTTCTATTCCTTCATCCAGGAATGTTTCATTTTCAATACTTTGAAGCCAACCTTCTGTATTTAAAACTTTTGTACCATACATATCAGTAATAGTATCGCTTGTTTCCAAACGCTCTATGATTGAATTTGTTACCAACTCGATATGAATAGATTTAGACTTTTTTACTAAATGTTTAGCATTAACAAAGTCGTTAAGTGCAACACCCTGGAAATAAAACTTTCCTTCTTTTTCAGTCACTTTGGCGAGAAAACGTTTTACTGTTGGCAAATTAATAAACTTTGTTTTTTGAATACGATTTAAATGGCTTTTAGCTTGTTGAACAAACCCTGATGAAGCCAACACATCTATCTCATCACTTTGAAAACATTTTGACAACATCTTTGCTGGTGCTAAAATCTCAATAAACAACGCGATATAAAGGGGCATTCTAGCATGAATCCACTTTTTGTGGTATCCTTTAAACTTAGCTCTTTCAGCATTGGTAAATGTTATATCTTCAGTCATATTTTCCAGATGTGTTAAATAAACACCGTATTTATTTAAAATCATTTCTAAAGCCTGAACTTTATGTGAAATCCATCGTGTACCTAAAAATGAAACAAGATTATACAATTTATAATTTACTTTATACTTGCAAAAACTAAAAATATAGGCGTCACGCATAACTGTAATGGTAATAAACATAAGATAAATAAATCAAGCAAAAAAAAAAATACCGGAGGCTTTCTTAGGTCGGTAACCACCAATGTTATATTCATCATCTTCTAAAATAGAAACGAGTTCACCCAACTGTCTTAACTTTTTGGGGGATTTTTTGTAAATGTAATGCATTTTTAAAATCATGTAATCAACGTCATTGAATGAGGCTGTTTTTCCTAATTTTTCTTTTAATGATAACTCGAGACGATGTGCTACACACCAGCCAAACGTGATCCAGGGGACTTCAGCCTTGAGCAACATTTTAACGCCCGACTTGCTCCCTCTGTTAACGGATGCGCCATCTGCACCAAATTCAACTAGTTTTTTATTGCAATTTACGACTTCTATATTCTCGAGTGACTTTTTGATGGTGTTGAAAACTCCGTGCGAAGTTCCATACTCAACATCCAAAAGTGAAAGAAAATCACATTCAACGTTTACTTCAGATTTTCCAGTTGGAGCCGGATTAAAAGTAGCGGCAAATATAGCTTCTTTTTCCTAAATTGAAACGTCGTTAGAACCGTCAATTAAAATAGTGAAAAAATTTCGAGTATTTAGTTTATTTTTGAGATCTATCGCTAAACTAAGAGCAATGTAGTCAATAAATACTCCGCATGTGTTTTCGTTTTTATAAGCCTGACCAAAAACTACACCATGTTTCTCTTCTAATTGAATTATTTTTGGGTATAGGCAAAGCGATAGTTCTTCTTTTGCTATAAAGTAAGCGACCTCAAATTTTTTTTTTGTCAAATCCAAGTCTTTACTATTCATGGTTTGAATACCGGATAAAATGTCTGTTTGCCGCATTTCCTGCTGCAACTCGTTTAGTTTTTCAATTCGATCGCACAAATTCATGCCTCTCGTTTTCATAAAAATCTCAAAAGCCTTCTGATGAGACATTCCCTCTGCATGCGTGATTGCAGAACTATGTTGCAATCGACTACATCCTTTTCCACAGCTCCATTCCGGAGTGTAGCCTTTTAAAATCTGAATTTGCGATGCATATTCTCGGCATACTTTGCATTTTAGCGCTGTAACTATTCCGTCAACGCTTTCAATTTCAAGCCAATCATTAGCATTATATTTTGCAAGCGTAGAGACTTTCCATTTATTAGCTGTTTGTAATTGTAGCTTTCTGTCATAAGTTTTTAGTTTTTTCTCAGCGGGTGTTCCAGATACTAAGTTTCTTTTAAAAGAAATAAATGTTTGACGCTTTTTGTATGCTTCCATTTTAAGATTATTTTTAAACTTACCATTTAATTTCTAAAACTTTTAAAACAAAAACTGTTTCTTTCAATTTAAATTGTCACAATGATTTCAAAATGAAGTTTTTCAACGAATCACAAACTTGCTTTGTTCATTATTTTTCAGACAATCAAAGAAATGTTAACCTTTCTAGTTATTAATTCATTTTATTCAAATGAATTCGCTTTATTAAAATAATTCTTTTACAGTTAATAAACTTTCGAACTGAAGACTGTTACGAAATCAACGCTATGTTTATTCCACCAATCAAAAGCATTATTAAGTTATTTACAATAAACTTCGCGCTTCTTTTTAATTACCATTTTTAATGTGAACTAAAAGATTATTATTGGTCTAAAAACTTGTTTAATTCAGCAATAATGAACATATTTTTTTAATGCTAATTTAATAAATTTAAGATTCTTTTTTAAATGTTAAAAAATTTTTTATTCTAATGTGTGACATGCAAGGTAGACGATCAAATTTGATCGGCCATAATTAATTTTGGGAGTTCAAAATTTCATTTTTTCCAAAAGTCGACGATCATTGATCGTTGATCGGCCGTTATTTCGAGCGCTGACATATACGTCCCCTTTTGAATTTTTTAGGTCTTCCTTGAGTAGATCCAAATATACATATTTAGCATTTACATACAAAAACACTTCTAGTTTGAACTGGTATTTTCATTTTATTCCACTTTACGTGTAAAGCTCTTTTCCTCTTCTTATACTGCTTTTGCAAGATTCTCAAATAGCTTTAGGATAGAATGAATTTTTAATGTTGTATTTAAAATTCACTAAATTTTTAATCCACGGTACATTGATATCGTTAGGTTTATTTGTTTTTTTTGGCACAATATAAATACACTTTTCTCCTGTTTTCCTCATGAGTACAGGTTGGTTTAAATAAACTCATTCTATCTGGAAAAATAAAACAATTTAAGAACACAGAGAAAACACACTTTTTATTATACCTAAAATATAAAGATTTATATACCATATAATAATTCTTAAAAAAATGTTTTAAACACACTATACAAATATAACATAATATAATACAAATATAAATGCTGACTATTATAGTATATGGGTTCCTTATTAAATACCATTTAATATTACTTACAAGCGTTGTTTATTATACTTCATTTTTTAAAGTTAAAACAAAATGAAAATATGCAGAATTAAGAAGTTTGATTACATATGTGGTAATGATGAGTTGCGGTCTGTTTTGTATTGTTCAGTATAAAACTATTGTTCAGTATAAACCTACTGTACAATATTTGTATACTTTTTTATTTTATTTTTTCAATGAAATCATATTTGACTAGATTGACAAAGTGACTTTTAACATTTTGTTTTAAGTAAAATATATTATTCGTTCTTTATAAACTTATTTATAAAGTTTAATAATGATTATATACACACGGGTCAAAATAGGTGATGAACTTTGGTGCCCCTCGGGATGTTTTTTAGACCATGTAGAAGGGGCAACTAATAACTAGTTATATTATTTAACAAAATATAAAACAGTTGCTTTCCCTCCTCGGGTTAGTCTCATAATCAACCAGAGGGGGGCCAAAGTTCGGGAACCGTTTTGACCCCAGTATAAACCTAAATATTTTTTATAGATTAGTTTTATGATTTTTTTTACTAACTTTCCCTTAATGGTATGGTTTTAACAATTTCAAAAAGGTATGACACAATCCTATGTCAATTCATCAAACTAAAATCTGGTTCAGCGTGGGTGTGCTCCATCATTTTTAATGCTATCCCTAAACCTGATAATGATTTTAGTTTAAAAGTAGTAAACGACATTAGTACTTACCAATCAAACCTAATGAGTGTTAATGACATACTGGTAATGTCAAAAGGTATATTATCACTTGAAAAAAATATAACACTTTATATGACGCCTAAAAATATTGAAGAAATTGAGCAGTTGACCAAAGGACAAAATAAAAACAAATACTGGTATGAATATAGAAAAGGTGTTATAACAGCTTCAAAAAGTTATGATGTTTGGACAAAAATGAACAAATTAAATAAACTTGATGCCGATATGTGGGAATTAAATCAACGTATATCTGGCATGTCATTTGTTAATTCAAACATACCTGAAGTTAAGTATGGCAGGGAAATGGAACAGAATGCTGTAAACTGTTTTTATAAAGTTTTTAAAATCAATCATAAAGGTATAGCAATGCATGATTGTGGGTTATTTTTAGATAAAGATATTCCTTTCATTGGCGGTAGTCCTGATCGTGTTATTACTTGTTTGTGTTGTCCACCTGCATGTCTTGAAGTTAAGTGCCCATTTTCTATAAATTACTTGTCCCCACTTGATCCGAGTGTAAAACTTCCATATTTGATTAAAAATGATGTTGGTTTTAGCGAAAAAATCATTGTGTTGATATTATATGGCTGTTACTTTTTTATATTCCCGAAATCCCGGGATTGTCCAATATCAATCCAGGCATTTCGAGGTCGAACGTGCGGGGAGGTTGGCGCCCCTTTTTGTAGCAATTGCCCTTTCCTTCTAACACTTGTCCTCTGTATCGTTATAAAAATCAAGTAATATATTTATTTGCTATTATAAAATGCTCTTTTTTCAAAAACTCCTCCTCCCCCTTCCCCTTTTCACAAAAATATTTCAAATTACGGGCCTCTATGTTTAAAGTTTAAACTGGGAAATACGGCATAACAGAAAAATATATTCCCTATGGACTTGTAAGCATCATATATTGTTAGGAAAGTTTTTCAACGCGAAGTAAATTTTTTCTAAGTTCGTTACGTATAGTTATTAGCACTGTATAAGAAAGGGGCTAGGAAAGTGCAGCTTGTCGTTTAGTTTAGGCCAGGGAGGCTAATATTTTAGGTCTTTTTTGTTCCCTGGCTTTAACATTGCAGTCTTTTGTAAAGAATCTTGATTTGACATAATGACATTTTCATACTCTTCCCTCCCATGGTTTTAATCTTATTAAAACTTGAAGTATTAGTAAGTTAAATTTCTAGAAATAAGTTAACATTAATATTAACTTAATTAGAATTAATTTTGTGCTGTGTGTTTCATTCACGCTTGCAAACGTGATCACTATTTTTTTGCGCTGTTTAACTTTTATAACCTTAGCAGGCCATGGGCGGCGATCACCTTTGACTAATTGGCAAGTGAACGTGAACTGCCATCTCAATTTTTTTAATTTACGTACATACATTTGTTGAACATCACCCATCCACCCCCAACGTACGCAAATTACACAACTTAGGGCACCTGACCTCTTACAAGTGTTAAGCCTGCTCTGAAAAGGCAGATGAAGGGGAGGGATTCCTGACCCTAGACTTGCTGGAGAAAAAAAACGCATTCTAAACTTATTAGCCTTTTTTTTCGAACCATACGCAATTACAAGAATGTAATGTTCATGAAGATTTGAAAACAAATCAATGTAGTTGTAATCTTCCATTCAATCTTTACTGTTTTTAAGTTCTTAAAAAAACAATTCTAGAGAAAGAGAAAAGTGAAAAGCTTTATTAAAAAGGGAAGATAAAAATAAAAAAAATTGAACCCATGCCACAGTGATCGTGTATGTTCAATGGAGTTTGTAGATGGAACACCTACCATTGCTAACATATATCCAAGAAGGATTTTAAATAAACTTTGTACAAAATTGAACTTTTTAGTTTTGAAAGGTATTAGTACAGATTGCTGTGCTAACGCATTCCTTAAATACTATTATTTATCGACTTTGAGCTCTTATATTTTTATCTCTTGAATTATTGACCAACACAGGTTTTAAGTTACAGAGTGCAGCACAAGCTCTCACAATATCATCAACATGACGCAAAATTGTTAGAGGTAAAACATTCTTTAAAATTCTATAAGTTTTCATTCTATTAATGACTCGTTCAACGTGTATTCTTAAGTTTGCTACTTTTTTAGTTTTTTTAAATTCAGATGCAATCATTTGACTTTTAAGACGAGCACCTGGAGGAATTATTAAAGTACAAAATCCTAACAAAAGTTCTTCCTGGATTTGAAATCCACGATCTGCCATGACTTCATCGTCACGCTCTAACAAGTCATAAAAACCACTGCCTTTTGTTATTAATTTATCTGAACATCTTCCACCATAACAATCAGATAAAAAAGTGATAAAGCCACTAAACGAAATTCCTACAAGAAACTTAAACGTATTGTGTTGTTTATTATCAAACCGTTGAGGCTTGTGCTGAGAGACACTTGATTCGTTCAATAAAAACTTCAGCACAATCAATAATCACACAACACCTGTAATATCCTGCATCCTTAAAAACCCTAGGTAAATTTTCCCTGATAGTTTCATGTAGAAGCAATACGATAAGAGCACTACCTAACACATTGCTTATAAGTTTAATCCATGTGGAAAATATGTTAGAAGAAGTAGTAGGAGAAATTCCAAATCGTTCTGCAATGTCTTTATTAAGAATACCAAGACGAAGTCGCATAAGTGTTAAAAAAAATTCGTCACGATGAGAAAGTTTTCTATATTTAGTTGACTGAAATCTGCGCTTTAATTTGCTAGTATTCTGAACATGTTTTGGCCCTCGCCCGTAAATAAGCTTTACAAGAAAGGGTATAATAAGTAAGAAGATGACATTAAATAAAGCTATAGTAGATATCCCTGTATAGAAGTTCATTTTTTTGTCTGTTTTAACTTTGTTGCATGAAAAAATCAACAATTTCTTAGTTTGATTAACTTGTTTTTGGTTTAGTTGTTTCAAGGATATATTCAAGAAATTAACTTTTTTTAATAAGAGAATTAATCTAATATGTTTTAGAATAACATCCTTCACACACATTTAGCGATGACTGGCTAGCATATGTATGTTCACAGCTTGGCGGTGGTAGATGTATTGCATTATCGTTATTACTACTGCATAACTCATTGGTATTATCTTCAGTTGTATTATTATTAGTGTCATTACATTCTGTCCTAATACCTTTCAAAATTAAAAAGTTCGATTTTGGACAACGTTTATTTAATCTCTTTCTTGGCTTAATATTAGTAGAATTATATCCCATATTTAAAGTAGGGTCTGGATAAGCAATTGTAGGTGTTCCATCTACAAAATGCATCGAACATACACAATTACTGTCGCATGGATTCCATTTTTTCTTATTTTTACCTTCCTTTTTTAATAAAAATTTCCACTTTTCTCTTTCTCTAGAATTTCTTAAAAAACTTGGAAAACAGTAAAGATTTAAAGGTCGATTACAACCACATTCTTCTTTTTTCAAACCTTCATGAACATTACATTCTTGTTTTTTCCACTTCAAAAGTTTATAATGGCTATTCGAACATCCTATTACTGCACATTTTCCTCTTGCCATCGTGTTGAATTCAAAAGATGAGATAAATACAAATAAAATACAAATTCAAATACAGATATTTAGGAAGTTTTTTCGACTTTTACCCACACAATTAGAGTTCAGTCCCCGCCGCGCAAAATAGTAGAATTTAAGTTGGATAGGTGTTTTGATTTTAAAATTCTGTGAGGGATGGAGTATCAGTTCGTCCACTAAATTATACACAAACAATGCCCTTTTCTTACGTGGACGAGTGTGAGATGTTTCTTTAAATCGAGGGTCCAATTCCAGTTGTTCAGCTAATTGATTTGCTTTATGTATAGCCTCATGGAATTCACTGTCATAACGGTATTTTTGGAGAAACTCTTTCGTCTTCTCAAGCTGTTTCTCCACTTCACATATATCGAGGGCTAAAATGCTTAAAAGATAAAACTTACTTTATTGAGATAATTTTTGGTTGTTGAAAGCTTGTATGATATTTATTTGGAATCCAAAAATAAAGTTGGTTTTTATAAGAATTAAACTAAAATTAAAATTAAGTTGATATGAAATCAAAATGCATTTGTTAAAAAATTTTTTTCTTAGCTCTTAGTGAATGATTAAGACTAATTAGCCTCAATAATGAAACTACGTAATAATCATTTTTAACAACAGAAACCAACGTGAAGATGAGCTAAGGAGTCTGTCAAAATATATTTGTGCTTTTCTGTTAACACATTTTATTACTCTCATGTCAATGTCATGAAACAACTGTTTTTTTCAGTAACAAAGATTAGTTTTCTAGGAACAATATCCAGTATCAAAAACTGTTGTTTTTTTTCCAGTATATATATATATATATATATATATATATATATATATATATATATATATATATATATATATATATATATATATATATATGAAGGGCACAGGGGTAAAAGCAGACATGTCACATTTTGCAAGTTTTGAGAAAACCCATTTTAAAAGTTCAAACACTCCTCAATGATCAAAGATACAGAATACAAAGTTGAGATTCTGCATACAGCAAGCCGAACCAATATCATTGCTATAAATGATAAAGTTTGTATGTTTTTTTATGACCGTTTGAAATTTTTTCCCCTGAATCCAAAATATTCCAAAATAGGCTAAGCTTTATTCTCCAGATATACTCATAATGCTATGGGACGCTTAAACAATAACATTAGAAGCCATAAAAATCAATCTTATACATATTTTCATGCAATTGTGATCGGTCTGCTTTAAATTAAAGTTAGCGTGTACTGGGATTTTGGTGTGTACACGTACACTTTATTCCAAAGTGATAGCGAGACATTTTTTGTAATTGACAGAAAGCTTAATTTCATGACAACTGCACAACATACACAAACAGCACACAAGAACAAAGTAGGAAAAATAAAACAAGCTACAGTTGCAACATAAAAATGAAACAAGGGATTCAACATAACAAATTCAATCCTCATTCTCCGACAAATCACTGAGTTCATGACCTGGGTTCACTCTAGCAGTGTCTGATCCACTATGAGGGAGCTCATCGAAGAACTGATGATTTGTAGGGCTCCAAAACCTTTTCAATACTTGAAGGTCTTTAAACTTTTCTGAGCTGATGGGCAGAGGACCATTTTTATACAACTTTGTAAGGACAGACATCTGTGGCTGCTTCTTCCCACGCCGAGTCCGTGTTTTTTTTAATACTGCAGACACAAACCCACCATTCCAGGAATCCCTGTAGAGAACAAGCAATGGATGAGAGTCCAAAATGTGGATCTCCCTGACTGGGCGTGTTTTTATAGGGCATACGGCTTTGAAGGAAGGTCGAAAGTACTTTGTGTAGGCGAAGAACATGTCCTGTGTAGCCCTGATGACCGTGAAAGGTGTTGGACGTGATCGGGCAGTTGCAAATTCTGCTAACCAGTCCTCTGGCAAGTCTACATTCTTTGTCATGTTGACGTTGCTAAAATCTCTATCGCACTCCATGTAGGAGTGGCCTCTTATCAGAAAGGTGATTTTCACCAACTTGAATCTCTTGCGTTTATGTACCTGATTGTATAAGAACCTAATCATTGTGTAGTTTTTATTTTGACCACTACACCCATCGCAGAAGAAACTGATTTCGTCCACGGCTTCAGAAATGTGGCTGCGGATGAAGTCAGCAAGAAATGAACAAACGTTGTCAGCACCCTTTTTTGCTACTGTTTCATCATATGTATACATATACACTTCATCAGTTGATAATACATGGATTACAAACGTATACAGGCTGAGCTGTCTGCGATAGTAAACGTCATTGGTGGACTTGTTTGGCACTGGTAGGTTTTTGGCAAAGTTAAAGCAGATGGCTTCAAACTTGTCACATTTTCTTGCCTTTTCCTTAGCTGCAGCTTTCCTTGCGTAGAATGTGCTGGCCTTGCGTTTGTGCAGCTCGTGGTTCGTGAGTAGTTCAGTTTTTTTGCTGTTCAGACCAGCAACATCTCTACCATTGCTTTCGGCATCGGCGATGTCACCATCCACATGCTGCAACTTCACGATGAATTCGTCACATGTGGAACAAGTATCCTTCCGTGGGTAACCAAATCCAATGTTGAATTTCGTGTTAAACAGTGTCCTGTAGGATTCATAGCTAATCTGCGAAAAAAAAGAAAAAGTAAATAAAGAAAAAAAATAATAATATCACATTATCATATATAGCTTTGAAAAAAAAGGTGTTGAATTTCTAAAACGAGGCAATAGAAGAAGAATTTGAGTTATCTGATCAGTGTTAAAAGATTCTAGATTGTCAACTTTGATTTATTTTTATAAATTATTACATTCATTGTGTCATTAATAGTCTTTAAAATATCTAATCAAAATTTATTATATCTAATTTATTTGTAAGTAATCTTTAAATAATGTTAAAAATAAAGGAATTAAATTAATTCAAGTTATTTGGTGTAGTGTGCTTTATATAAACACAAGGTATGAGAGTTTTTAGAAAAGCTTACATTTTCGAGCTCGTAGCAAAATTTTGTAATAATATGCCCTGATAATATAAATAAATTAAATTAAAATAAAAGAAGCCAAACCCAACAGATGCTGTGATGGGTTTGATATGTAAATTTAGCTGCAATTAAAAATTAGTATTCGTGCATGCACATATAGTAGCTTCAAAATATCCTCTATTTCACTGTCACTGACATAAAAACATACACAAACCTTGGTTTCAGGGTGAACTGACACAAACATCTGATGCATTTTGGCGACATTCAAGGTATGTGGAAGGTACAACTTTCTTGTCTCCCCCATTTCATAGTGACTGTGTCTGCCCCGGAAAGATGATATGTGGCCACACACCAGTGTTACTGTTTTATCTGTCAATTTGTGTGGCCTGTTGTTATGCTTTCCTCTTCCATCTTGTGGTGCATGACCTGCGAGAAAAAAACCCACACAATATGAAATAAAATTGACAGAGGAAAGTTGATAGTGTGGGGTAGGAAGATGGCATATGGTAGAAGAAAACATAGTAGAGGTATCAATGAACGACAATGAAAACTGCACATTACTAAGTTTGCTGTAACAGAAAGATTTGTATGAGAAATCAAATTCACCTTCTGTTTGTGCTTTTTAAAGCAAGACATAACATCACTATTAAATCCATAATAATATTAATAATAATAATAATAATAATAATAATAATCTTTATTTCCTCCATAAATTAAAGATCATAAATTAAAAAGAAGATGAATAATAATACTTATACACGATTTTTTTTGTATAAGCAACTTAGAATTTTGGTCAGAACTCGAGTTGCTTATTTTTCAGCCAATTTCTATATCTCGAGTTGCTTAATGGTTGCTTAATGGTTGCAAATTATCTTCTTTTTCCTACTACCAACTCACCACGATGACAAATCTTTTTGGTAAAACGAAAGTTGAACAAATTTGTCTGCTTTCTCTTACTCATGATCTTAACAGCGTTGTCAACAACATACACAACAACACTACTGTGATTACTTTTTTTTGAAATCGTTTATCTAAAAGAAGTCATTACATTGCAGAGAAAAAAATTGCAATATATGAGTTGCTTATGTTAACGTTTTTTCAGAACTGAAGTTGCTTAGTATTTTTTCACATCGAGTTCAGTTGCTTATAAACGAGTTGCTTATACAAAAAAAATCGTGTATTCACACAAATTCACACAGATCACATAAAAAAAATAAAAAAAATAACAACAATAATAATAGATCTAGTAATAAAAACAACAATGATAATAACAATAACAATAACAATAATAATAATAACAATAATAATCTTTACTAAAATTATAAATTGTATTATTCAAATCAACAACAAATTAAAAGCACTAATTCCAATTCCTACTCACCTGTTAATGACATTGCTTTGCGGACTGTTTCTACACGGTTTTTTGTGATGCCGAAGAGCGAGCAAAAGGCTTTCACACACACTGCCACTGGTTCCACTGATGTTCCTGTTGATACCTTTACGACATACTTAACACTCATCTCTTTAGGTTTATAAGAATTTTCGTCTGCACCTTCCCTACACCTACGTTGTTTTACAGGGAAAACTACTACCATTGTAGACAGATAAGCATCTTGGCTGTCTTTGCTTGAGTATGCGTTGAAGCCCTCAATAAGTGATAGTCTTGCAGCTTCACTTATCTGTTCAAAACATTTTAGACGGCTGCATTTGCAATCCTCACCTGTTGTGTGATTTTTTATGCGTTTAATCTTTGCCGCATCTTTTTTCCTTCCATTAATTTTTCGCTTTCGAGGCGTTACAGTCACAACTGGTCTGTCAAAGCAATCCGCCATTTTGCACGCACTTTGTTGTTATACCAAAGCTAAACGCTGATTGGCTGACCTAGTAATGTGAATCGACACCACATGACTCAGCGGGGACATGTCTACTTCTTCCCCTGTACAATTTGGACATGTCTGATTTTTCCCCAGATGGCTATAATTTTAAATGCTAAATGCTCGAGACTTTGCTGGTTTTTCGGTTGGACAACATAATAGGATGTAACTTTGTGTCGGGCTCTATGTAGCAAGGGAAAAAACTCAATATATGAAATTTTTGACATGTCTGCATTTTCCCCTGTGCCCTTCATATATCAATTCTAATAATATCTTGATATTAGGTATATCTTGATAGGGTTTTTAAAATGAGATTTTACATAGATTACAAATAAAAAATCTTAACAGATTGTGGTTCCACTAAAAATGTTTTAAAAAAAAATTAAAAGGAAAAGCAGCACACTAAATAAAAAAAGTTTTTTTTAAAAAAGATTATTTAAAAACATAAAAAAAGACATTCTTACCAGGTTGTTGCACTACTAAATTAAAATATGTTCAGTATTGAAAATAAAAACGCATATTATTTTATTAAAAAAAAAATATTTTTTAAAGTTTTTTAAAAAGAAATTTTAAAAACATTGAAAAAAAAATCTTACTGGATTGTGGTCGTTGTTGTGATTACTGTTGTGGCCCTATAGTAGATCGACTAAAGATATAAATACAGATTTAAAAAAATACTTTAGTGAAGAAAAATTTATAAAAAGAACACCAAATATAAAAAACTTTTTAAAAAGAGATTTAAATACATTGAAACAAAAGGTTTCACTCTTACCAGATTGAGGTTGTTGTTGTGTTTCTTAAAATATAAAAGCAGATTAAAAAAAGGAAAGAAATGAGAAAGAAAAGGAAAACGAATTGGTATCAAAACCTTAACAAACATAAATAGGTTTTTTATAAAAGAGATGATTTAAAAACAAATAATTTATACCAGGTTGAGGTTACACAACTAAATAAAAAATGTTTACTATTAAAATTAATAAAAAATACGAAACACTCAGAGGAGGTGAGGAAGTACGTATACGTATACGTATAAAGGGGGTGAGTGGTTAATTATGAAAGTATGGAGATACTAAATTTGAAAAGATTTAAAAATCATAAAATTTTGAGTAGGTATGTTAAAAGTGTAGGTACTTTTAGGGAGGTATATATATATATATTTATATATATATATATATATATATATATATATATATATATATATATATATATATATATATATATATATATATATATATATATATATATATATATATATATATATATATATATATATATATATATATATACATATATATATATATATATATACCACATATATATATATATATATATATATATATATATATATATATATATATATATATATATATATATATATATATATATATATATATATATATATATACCACATATATATATATATATATATATATATATATATATATATATATATATATACATTCTTTAAATCTCATTATATAGTAATATCTTTATGGAAATTTGATATTTCAAAATATCAAAAGGTAGAGCTGGCTCGGAGCTGACTCCGGAGCCAGCTCCGGCAGAAAATATTTTAGCTCCAACTCCGTCTCAGCTCCATGTAAAATCGCCCGTTTCGGATAGCTCCAACTGCAGCTCAGGAGCTGCTCCAAAGCCCTGCGTACACACATATTTTTATACGCACAGATACATATTTTTATACGCGCAGAGATATATAAGAACAATGCATACTTGCATATAAGTATACAAACAGGTTCATACACGCATACAAATTGAATCAGAAGGATGAGGGAAAAGCCTGTACAATCACATTTTTAATGTAAAGATGAGATTTCGATTGCGTAGATGAAATTTTGAAGCTTTACAGTTTAATTTTTCCCATAGTCTAGCAGCGGCTCTGCATGAGAGTAATCGTGAAAATCAAAAGCCTAAAGAGAGTAAACAAAAACCTCTAACAAAACACATAACAATTTAATTAGATAAAAATATTATTAAGACGCTATGGATAAGATAAAATCTTAAAAGACTAAACAAAAAACTAGATTAGCAAATATAGTATAGTATTTAATAGTTATAATTCATGTATTAATATTAAATGATAATATTCATGTGAGTATTCATTTGCATTCATGTGTTGTTAAAATATAATAGTTCATGTACTGTTATTATATGAACAAAAATTGAAGGTTGAAGTCCATAGTTGATTAAATCGACTGTTCAATTTAAGTCGACTACTTTTGACTTTCAACTAGTCAACGTTTAATCGAATAAGTTGAAGTTGATAACAACACTAATAAATATTTAATTGTTCTTACCAATATTTTACTAGCCTTATTAAGTTAAGCCTTAAGTTTGAACAGATTTTTGTTAACATAATTAACTAGCCTTACCAAGTTTAAACAGATGTTTTACGGATCTTTTAAAAAACGAAATTTATTTTTAAATTAACATTTAACTTGCTGGTTGTTTTTTATTAAAAAATGAGGTTTTTATTTATGTTAGCTCCACTTTTTGCAAGTTTCTTATTTTGTGACTCTATACCAGTAAAAAAAGATGACTGCGATATAAGAGTAATGAATGGGGTATGCCTTTTTATTGATTTTAATTAAGTAAAGTAGTATAGATTAACATGTGATAACTAAAAATCTGGACAAAATTAAAAATTGAATAATTTTTTAACGAAATGATCAATTTTAATAATTTAAAAAATATCTAAAAAATAAAATTTTAAAAAATTATAAGTTTTTATGCCCTAACGACGAACGGTGTCTACTCTTGTAAACGTTGCGGCAGCTAGCCGATGTGCACGTTTTATGTTGATTTTCTTCATTAAAAACTCGATTTTTTTTGAATTCTCAAGTTTACCTAGATTTTCAGCTTGCCAGTTTTTATTTTACACTAATCTCCTAAATTCAGACCAAAAATCTTCAATTGGATGTAATTCTGGCACATTAGCAGGGTTATTACGTTACTTTCGGTACAAATTCAATATTTTTAGTTTTTAGATAACCTTGTACTTTACGCAAATAATGTGACGAAGCTAGATTAAGCTAAAAGACAATATTGTAATTTTTATGATGTTTTTCAATGAATTTCTTTAATCTAACAAGACATTTTGAAATATACACATTTTCATTGACTGCTTTGCCTGACGGAGCGATGTACTGCTGTACTACAATGTACTACAATATACAATGTACTACAATGTACTGTTCCTTTTGTCGAGAATGCAACCCAGACAAGTAATTTTGGCTCAAATCTGTTTTTCTTTTTAATTTTACACCATTAGATACTGCATTTATGTCAGATGAATAGATTCATCGGAGTCGGTGTTCCTTTAGGTGTTTTAGTTTTTTTAAGATAACGGATACTAGTTTTTTTGTGAATAATTTTGCATATGTACGGTTGTGATAGAATCGTTTTACAAGATTACGCTGTGAAATATCATCCTTTTGATCAATCAATTTTTTAAGACACTATTTCTTTTGCAGACACCTTTTTTGCTTTGCGACCACTTCTAACTTTTCTTTCTGGTCCTATATTCTCCTTTCTTTGAAGTATATTATAAATAGTAGATTTTGGTATGTTCTCCATTTGAAAATGATTTACAATAACGCTTTTATTCTTATCTGGATGCAAATCCAAAAATGCGTACACTCGTTTTTTAAGGGATTCTTCGTTATAAGTCATTTTTTTCATTTTTAATTATTACTAAATAATTTTTTTTTTAATAATACATTTAAAGAATTAAACTTGTAACAAAAAATATAAGTGGTTGCAAGTATATTAATTTATTCCTTCATATTTTAATATTTACTTAAACTTTGATTTTAAGTTATTCCATCTTATTTTTTTAATTAAATAATTCATGGGTTTCATACTTAATTGAATCATTTTTATAAAATAATATTGATTCCCACTATTTTCCATAAAATTAGTTAAATTCTAACACTGAAGCTATTGTTGCAGTGTTTAACTTGAACAGCTTTTGCAAATATTGTTGCAGTATCAATATATTTGAGTTCTATAGAGGGATTAAATGGAAGTGTTCAACAAAAATTTCCACTTGTAATTTAGAAGTGTACCACAAACAAACTTGCAAAAGAAGACGTAGCTATTTCCTCCGATAATGATTTACCAACTATTGATCAAATCACAAATGGTATTTTTTACTTATTCAGTTTTTAAATTTATAGTTTAAACTGACTTCTTGTTTTGAGCATTTTACTATAACTACTACTACTACTACTACTACTACTACTACTACTACTACTACTACTACTACTACTACTACTACTACTGCTAATACTACTACTACTACTGCTACTACTACTACTACTACTACTACTACTACTACTACTACTACTACTACTACTACTACTACTACAACTACTACTACTACTACTATTACTACTGCTGCTGCTAAATAGTAGTCGTAATAGATTTGTTTTATTTGCTAAAAAAGGATTTATACATATGCACATATATAAGTGATTACTCGAATACTTGCTTTGTAGATTTGTTTTATTTGCTAGATTTGCTATGCTTTATTTGCTATATTTCATTGTTTTTTTCCAATTACTTGAACTTACATTTTTGTTTTTTAAGTGTTTAAAGCAAAACTGGACTTTATCAAGTTTATGGGAGAAAAATCACCATACCAGCTTACCTTTTTACAGCTGTTTTTGGACAATGTGGACGATATTAAAAAATCATTTCAAAGTTTTTTAAAGTATGATCCTGTATATCCTTCCTAAACGTAGCTTTCCTGATTTTTGCAAAAACACTGTTGCACTCGGGATTTGTAAACGCAACTTTCCTGATATTTGCAAAAACTCAGTTGCACTCGGGATTTGTAAAAAGTTTTGTTTTAAACTTGTTTTAAAAAATATACATCATTTGAAGTTATTTTTGCATAATAATTAACAGTTTAATGATATTCAAAACAAAACTATCTACCTAGAATTTAAACTACCTACCTAGCCTAGTTTACAAAGTCCGTGAATTACGAAAATCTCACAAAATCTTTTAAGAGAAAGCAAAAACTATATGAAAAAATGTTGAGAGTTAAGCTTTTTAGTTTGTTTTTTTAGTTTTAGTTTAACAAAAATTTTGTTAAACTAAAAAATTTAGCATTTAGCAGAACTAAAATTAGCCGACTAACTTTAATTCCCTTGTTTTTAGTCGAAGAAATTAAAGTTTTTTCCCCAAAAAAATGACCAAATATTGTCTAATATAAAATTATGCTCGTATTTAAAACTTAATGATTTTTTGATTTTTAGACGTTGCAAACAAAAAAAACACATTATATTGAAGTTGTATTGTATGTTTGTGTTGGTTGGCGATTTATGTATTATATGTAACATGAAGTGTTAAACGGGTCTTTCAAATACAGAACATTTAAAAAACAAAATAAATATTTACTAAGAAAGGTTGAATACACATTTAAAAATACACAGAAAAAAAAACTATTTATAATTACCAGTAAAAAAAGTTAATTTGATCTGTTTATTTCAATAAACAAATCAATACATCTTTAAATACTGGCGCCTGAAAATCATGCTTATTTTAAAAAAGCATGCTTACCCTAAAATTTTATATTAATTTTCCCATGAATTTACCTAATTAAATGCCCCAATAATTACCTAACTAAAAAAAAATTATCTTTATTATCGATGTTTTGATTAAGTTAAAAAAAAAAAAACAGAACATATTTTGTACTAAAACATATATTATGAATTATAATTTATAAACTATTTTGAATTATTATATTATGAAATTATTTAAACAAATGTTTTTCTTCATTCGCTTTTGCTGGGGCAAAATTATTATTTGTTTCATTTTTTAAAAGATCTGCTTCAATATTTAGTTAAGCTGATTTAGATGTAGGATTTTAGGTTTTTATAAGCGATGCCTATATCTGTGTGTGTGTGCGCTTGTGTGCGCGCGCGTGTGTGTGGTCTTAGTTATGATCATTATCTAGAATTAAATTTACTAATTCAAAAGTTCTTTTTGTTCACTGTGTGTGCCATAAAGTTGATTTAGTTGTTGGTAAATTATGCAGTTTTTAAAATTTCAGAAATGTGCAAGCTATCTCAAAAAGTTTGTTTTTTCTGATCAAACAAAATTAATTGATATGTGTTAAACTAGATGGGTTCAGAAACATAGAGGTTTCGATTTTTTCCACTCAAGGTAGGTATGATAAAGAGTGATATTTTTTTAGTTTTGAAATTCGTGAATAACAAAGAAACCGTATTAAACAACACCTTCGATATATAAATAGTTAGTTACTTTTTGCTACTATTGTGTTTTCTAATTTTATTCAGGCAAAAGATTTATTTTGTACGGTCCATGGTAGCTTTTTTTGCAACAATTCTAAAATGCTAATAATAATTTTTTTTAATTATTTTCGTTTCTATTGTAGTCCCGGATTTTATTTTAATTTTGCTTTTAAAAAATAATAAACTCTTTAATTAAGTTAAAATTCGAATTTTTTGTTTTCAGTTTGTTGATAGAGTTTACCTGTTAGGGTCGACGAGTTTTGAAGTGGAGGGGCACAATCGTCAATTTTTAAACGAAATCCTCTATATCTAAATTTTTTTTTTAAAAAAAAAAATTCTTAAGACAAAAAGTAGGTGGGGGGGGGAGTGAAAAAAGAGCCCTACCGCACCCCAAGAGAAGGGTGGGCTGTCAAAACTGTTAAAAATTTGTATAACAAAATAAATTTGCATTACAAAAAAATAATAAAAATAATATAAAGTATACTTGTGACCTCAACAACGTGCAAGTACTAATAGGGACACCATCTATTCGAGATATGGCACTGTTAGTACTTTATATTTTACAGCTTTTGAAGAAATCAGCCTCTTTGAGAGCTACCACAGAATTCGGAAAAACTCATTCAGAACAATTAAACTGAGTTTTAGAGCTGAAACCTTATTAGGAGATAACAGGAAAAGGTCCATAATCAATTTCAATAAGAAATCTACAAGTACAAGCAAAAATCTATAAGTAGAGTCATGATGATCTAGCATTCATCATCCTAGGCAAGAAACATTATTACACAGGTTTACATCTATGCCAGCCTAATAGATGTAGAGAACGTGTGAGGCTGGTCAACTAAACTATTCTGCTTATCTCTTAAGTATCTGGATGCAGTCATTAAAATCTGATGATTATTTAAAATACCAATGCATTACGGAAATTACAACAATGCATTACGGAAATTACACCAATGCATTACGGAAATTACAACAATGCATTACGGAAAACACCGCTCTCATTAAGTAAAAATAAGAGTTTTGAAAAACTTTCAAAGTTAAAAAATTTTCTCATTCCAGCTTTTCAGTAAAAAAAGTGTGTTATAATTTTTTGTTATGTATAGAGTTATGACAAAAAAGATCTGACCATATTTAGCAAAAAACCGTTTGCTTTTGTTTTTTTGGGTATAAGATACGCTTTTATTGCTAAAAACGTATTAGTTCATAAAGTAATTTTCTTAAACATAAGAGAATAAAGAAGTCACAGAACTTCGATGACTTGCAAGTACTTTTTTTATCACATTGAAAAAAGAGGATCAATTTGTGCATCATCTCCTTGTAAATTCAAAAAAAACCTAGGGAAATGCTTTGAAAAAAAAGATGGTAAGAGTCTTAATTCAAATATAAAAGATACAGTAAATACATATATGAATTATTGAACTAGAGCACGTTAGTAAAATTAAATTAGACAAAATTAATAACATTATTCGGAACAAAATTAAATAAAAATAAATAAAAATATATCCTAATATATAAAAATGTAACTTGGTTTATTGAGAAGAATAAAAAACACTAAATAGTTAACACATTTTATCTGTAAAATTTTAATCTCCAAGATTTAAGTGCAAATAAGTCAATTACTTTTTCTACATCAGGTATTTCTTTGTGAACATGTATTAGAGCAAGATTGTTCAATCTCTCAGATGACATAGTATTTCGTGTGTAATTTTTTCATTGCCTCATAGCTGAAAACGATCTTTCACAAAAAGACAGGTTACAGGTAATGTTCCCAAGAAGGCAAATTCTGATATTTGCAAATACATTATTAGAAAGACTCTATAAAGTACTTAAAATGTTATCTAGTAAGCAAATATTTTTCAGAAGCCAGTACCTTTTCCACAAATCAAATTCTGCACTTAAAGAAATTGTACATGGTAAATCAGTTACATAAAAATTAATAAAAGATTTGAACCTAATTTTCCAGTCAATCTTTTTAGAGACAAAAGAAATCATTTTGTCTGAACTAGTTAACAAGCCATTGTAAGCTACCAAAGTATCATCACTAAATCTGTAACTTACTTCACCTAGGAGTTGATCAATAAGTGGAATAAATTTTTTGAAATAATTTAAAGTTGAACAAGAAGCAATGTTATTTCTATTTGTTTGAAGACTTGATAATCTCTGTTTAACTTCTGCAATATCAACTTTAGAAGCAAGACAAAGAATAGAAGCATACCACTTTATGTGATAATCATCTAATAAATTATTAAGTGATATAACTTTTTAAAGCTGAAATAAAACCTAAACCATCACAAATATCAAAAGTAATAGGAATTTTGTAGTCAAGAACTGTCCAAGTTTAACTTCACTAAGTTATCACTAAGGATGCAATAAAGTCAAAACTTGTAACAAATTTTAAAAAACAAGATGCATGTAAGGAATTATCTTTTGTACATTTTGATTCTAGGTTCAAACTCATTGCTTCAAAACAAAAAACAATAGGTACAAACAAATTTTCCAAATCATCAAATCCAGTTATGCGTTCAACCCATCTTGTACAACAAACATCAAATAATTTTTTCTTCGTAGCAAGAGGGCTTCGAAGAAAAAATTAATTGAGCTGTTCTATAATTACTACTTCTAATAAATTTTGTCGTGATTCAGAAAAATTAAAAAAGTATGTCTATTGTTTTAGATGCTCCATCATATTTCTAACTTCTTGTATCATGCATGAATTTGTAACACTAAGATTAAGACGATGACTGAAGCAGTGAGTATACACTGCTTTATGATTGAGATATTTTATTCTTTTAGCGATACCTTTAACATGAGCTGTAGCAGATGACGCACCGTCGTAACCCTGACCTCTACAATTGGAAATATCAAGTGAAAATCTTTAAGAGAAGATAAAATAGTTTTGTCTTTTTGTCTTCAAGTATGTATCAATTAGGAATTCCAAATACGGATTTTTGGTTAGCGTAGCGTGTTTTATTTAGTAGTTTTATGTTTTTTAACTATTGTTGTTGTTTGTTTATAGTTATATTTATCATTTATTTTCATCTTTCAAAGTTTCATTGAATAAGTGCATCATTGCACACATAAATTATAAATTAAATGTAGTCTCAGTGGAGTATACTGACTTAAATTTAGGGATAAGCACTGTCGAGTGTAAATACATCGACAGACTTAAATAGACATTTGTGCAGTAGCGTGATAGACGCAGTGAAGTGTACATATATCTACTGAGGGTTTAGGTTTGGGCAGTTATTTTTTAAAACAAAAGAAAAGTATTTAAATATTTACTTAAATTTAGTTTATAAATTAATCTAATTTGTATAAATAAAATTATAAAGTTAAATTAAACGAGAATTCTAAGTGAAATCGTCAAAATAATTATTAATAACATACGTTAAAATACGGGCGTAATGAAAAGAAAAAAAATAGTTGTACGCGCATGTATGTTGGAAGAAGAGCCATTTTACTTTGGGATACGGTGTCGGAACAATTACCACAGCCTAGAAAAAAACCGAATTCCGAATAATTAGCATTTTTATATCGTTTTTTATATTGATTTTTATATCGTTTTTATACTGAATTCGAATATTTTGTTGTTGTGCTTTAAAGTGTAACCCA